TGTTATGAGTATGGTGACCTTCCCATTCTAACTCCTCTTATCAAATTTTATCAGCTGCTATCAGTTCTTGTCACCCACCAGTGATGTTCGTGTCCCACAGCCTATATCATACTTTGGGACAAACGTTCCACTGTTGCTGTGTCCCGCACTATGGGCTCGGTACCCCTCCTCTTCTGACCCCACCAATAATGTTCCCGTCACAGCCCGTATATCACTGCTTGGAATCAACTTCCTACAGCAACTGGGACGGTAGCTGTGAATTTCGTGACACACACACACACACATACACCACACACACATGCACACACACAGACACACACAGCCATACTTAGCGGATTATATACAGCAGGATATTGGCCAGATTCTTAGAGTCGGTACGTAATGAATTCTTTACGCCGTTTCATGAGTTGGGAGGAAGCAGAAAATCGATCCGCCTCCCATCCTTTCCGCAGAATTCCTGAATTTCCGGTGGTGTTAGGCATGAACGCAGCCTCGGAAACTCTATAATTGCTGGGTTAGTAAAAACCTGAATGCCCATTACGTAAGAAAAGTGATGTTCTAGGCTCTCAACAGCAGAATTTTGCAGAAACAAGGGTTCGGAGAAATTACGCGCAACAGATCTCAAGAGTCGTTGGCCGTTGAGGAAGCTGAACACGCCAGTCAACGAGTACTAGCCGAGTATTCTCGCGGAGTTGTGCAAGACATCACACGTCTCTCTCAGCAGAGCAGTCGCGCTAGTGGAAAGGTAGGCTATTCCCTTTTGTACTCTTCGCTCTCTAAGGAAAACTGCAATTATTTCAGCAACTGAGCGGTTTAGCGCGTGCTGTGGACATGTTGTCGCAAAAATGTAAAAAGAGTATAGAGCTGATACGGTAAGTTGCATTTTAGGAAAAGAAATAATGCAGATGTGTCTCTGTAAATCAGAAATGCTATTTTGAGGTCGCAAAACAAAGGCTGTCTGTCGGTTTCTGTGGAAGATCTCCTAGCAGCAGCTGCTGATCCTCCTCGTAAGGGTGAAACTCTCAACGAGCAGTTGGACAGACTCTCAGATGCGTTCGACGCTGTCCAACGGTAATACTACAACTTTTGTGTATTACATGTATAGCGGAAGTAAATTAGGCATTTAGCTACCTCGAGCAGTACTCGCTCGACGGCCATCAGTCCCCGATTCCGGATTTCACTGATGACGCATCTGAGATCCAATCAGTTGCGAGTTCATTCACTGCGCATAGGTATGTCACATTTTCATCCTTTACACTCAATTCTACTCTATCTCTACTCTATTGTGTACTCTATTGTATCCAGTGCACCTTTTGGCGCTCGAAAATGCCTGGTAATTAACAGGGACGTTTGCGGTAGCTTGGTCTTGTCGCGTTCGCCCGCCATTTGATGCATGGTGTCTATGCGCTGCTCGACTGCGCCCTCTTAACTAGATAGAGTTCAACGAACTCGATTTTGGACGGTAAAACCTTTCTTCAGATTCGTCCAAGAATCCAGATTTACCACGTAGGAGACCTTTCCACTCAGGGCACAGTCAAGCAGCTTGTACCACGTGGACATATGGCGTTTGAAATGGTGGGCGGAGACAGCAAACCGCAAGCAATCACAAGCCTCCAGCTTCCTTACCATGCATGTTAGAGTCAGGGCGCGTCCTGCCGTTGGGGAACATTTTGTTACATACGCACTTCCCCCCCCCCCCGAGTCGCTCTTCTTCTACGACCCTCTTCCCCGTCCTACGTACCGTCTTGCAAAAGTTCCTCGGCTCGCTATCACTCTTCCAGAGTTTTTTCAAAAATCCTCCAGTTTTTCCCAAAAAAGGTACCTCGGGTGGGCGGTGTGAGGGTTTATGACGTATAGTGTCCTAGAAACACAAAAATCGAGAAAATCACCTACCAAGAACAAAGGAAAGTACACCCCCCCCCGCCCACTCCAGCGCGACCAACTATGACCCTTACCTCGTGGGGATTCCAAGAGTACAGCGTGCCCTGATTCTAGTGGAGGAAGCGGTACAGCACTGCAACTGAAAATTGACTGGCCTTGTCCATTCCAGCTCTCATTCTCGGCAAGAAACTGCATCTCCTAGGCAAAACAAAGCTTCGCTGCCTATTCGTCCAAGAAGATCAACCACCCCGCTCTCGACTACACAAGAATGATCTGAACGGCAGAACTTGTAACCACATGGATTTATTGCTTCATTCATAATTTTTTACTTATGCGCATGTTTTACTTTGCTGAATAGGATAATTACGGTTATGTTATAGGTAACTTTGGCCTTCTGCATCTGACTCTATTTTATGAACTGTTAGCTTTATTTTCTATTTATCGTTTGTTCTTTCTACTGAGAGCAACTACGATTTTGTGAAGAGCTACGCGTTCTATCAGTCAGCTCAATGATTGCCTTGAAATACTATTGCTTCATGTTGTACTTACTAAAGATTTTCTTTCTGGCGGGTATACTCGCCTGTTTTCTTTTATTGTTGAATTGTTGATATATGCGTGCTAGTCTCCAAAGACCGATGAATGGAACAATATTGGTCTTTTCGTAATACTTGAGCCTTGAGACCATGTAAATATCAGACATAAAAATCATTGTGTTAACAAACATTGTATTTGCGTGAGTATATCCAATATGATGGGCAGAGCGTGGCTGCTGTGTTCGCGGCAGCGTGTTCGGCGTTCCGAGCGTAAGGCAACGTGAGCGTCTAGGAAAGTGAATATTAACCTAGTGTCTGCCAGCGTCTACCAGCGTCCGAAAGTGGAGAGTGTGGGGAGACGGGAGGTTGGCAGACTGCTGCTGTTCTCATATCGCCCATATTCTCTACCGTCGGACGCTGTTGGTCGCTGTAGACGCTGGCAGACTACAGGGGGGGGGGCAAAAAAAGTCACTTTTCCTTGACTTTCGAGGCGCTATAAGTTACACTTTATCAAATTCTGATCGGACATTTTTACCACCATATTAAAGAGCATATTAATACTATCATGACACTCCGCCACAGCCTTCTGGACGAGCGCCATCGAGAGATTCTGCCACGCGACCGTGAGTGGGTGCCTGAGTTCAGCGAGATAGTTGATTTCTCCGCCACTGTAGACCACCCTGTTGAGCTCCGCCCGAACCGGTAATTGAGGGTTTAGGTCAGGTGACCTACTTGGATATTCCATCTTCTTCAGGTACTCAACGTCCCTTCCATTCCAAGTAGGCGAGAGTTTTTCCAACGCCCTTCGATCCACGTGGTGTCGCCCAATCCTGTAGCAGTACAAAGTTTCCAAGAAGGTACGGGTGACGACATGTAGGGAGGATATTCTTCTCGAGTTGCTTGATGTAACGCCAGCGCTCACCTTCAGTCCGGGGTCACGAAGAAAATATCGGTCTTTCCATTCCAGGTACTCAGGTCCATACCATCACCCGCGCCTTGGCGACTGCGGTGAAGATGATGTCCTAGACCGTGGCGACGTTGTCGGAGCTGCTCGATGTTGGAGGTCTTCCAGATCGAGAGTACTGGTCTCCAGGTAGCTATCCATGGGTGACTCCATACTAGAAGTTTCGCAGCTGTTTGGAGGTGACATGAATTCCAAAGGTCTTCTCCAGTCAGGCTGCGACTGGAGATGACTTCATATTTTGGTGTACATGAAGGTGATGGGCGAGAGCCAGCTCCTGCTTATCGAGGAACATCTTGGGTATCTTCCGCCCTGGTACTCGTATCCACGTCCTCTGTCTGGGCTGCGAAAACTTTGCTGATATGTGACTCGGTCGAAGTGACTTTTTTTGGCCCCCTGTAGATCGATACCTATACTTACTAGTCGTGAACGCTGCCGGATGCTCGGAACGCTGGTGAACACTTCCGCAAAGTATGAACGCAGCCTTACGTCGCTCGAAAATCTCTCTCCCAATTGCCAAAACATAGATTTTTCTTTTGCATTATGTGATGAAGCACGGCGTAGAGATTCGATTTTGGCGTAGTGAGCTGCAGTATCACCTGTATCACCTGTGCTCCCGTTGATCATCGAGTTCCTCGAGCGGGCGCCAGTAACGTCTCCATTCGTCCCTGCAACGTGCAAGAGTTGCCCAATGAACTCTCTCAGCTCGAGGGACACGATGAACTTCATACCGTTCGTTCAGAGCTTTCACGAAGAAGTCTGACCATCGCGTAGGCGGTCGTCCAGGCGTTCGCTTGACATCCAATCCAGTCGGTGATGCTCTGGTCCAGCGGTCGTCCTCGAAACGCATGACGTGTCCGGCCCACCTGATCTTCGAAACCTTGGCAAATGCGGCGGCGTCTCTGATCTTCGATCGTTGGCGGAGTGCGGAGCTCCGGATTCCCTCTCTCACTTGCGTGTAGCGGGAAACTCCGAGCATCGCCCTTTCGATGGCGCGTTGAATAACGCCGACCGCATGCTCATCCTGCTTTCGTAGAGTCCAAGTCTCTGAGGCGTACGTCAAGGCAGGAAGGACCGCGGAATCGAAGAGGTGGGCACGGAGCTTGGTGTTCTTCGTCTTCTTCGCTACTCCCTCGATGTTCTTGAAGGCTCCCCAAGCCGCTCGCTTCCTCCTGCTCAGCTCTGGAGCTAGGTCATTCATCATATTGATTTCACGACCTAGGTACACATAGCTAGAGCATTCAGAGATGGTCGTTCCGTTGAGCGTGAATGGGGCAGTCTTCGTTAGATTCAGCCGTAGACCGATTTTTCCACACGTGCAGTCGAATTCACCCAGCATTCGTTCCGCTTGCTCGATGTTTGGTGTTATCAAAACGATGTCGTCAGCAAAGCGAGAGATGGTGTAGTTGCCGACGCGTCGATGCTTCACTCCAATGTCTTAAACCCATTACCATTTGACAGCATGAGTGTCTCGTAGAGAGCACTGAGAGCTTTGGGCGTGAGATTGATGTCGCCATCTCATGATGCTGACACCGCTCGTCTCTTTCACATCATGACGATAATCTACCTTGTAGAATGGTGAAGAATCCTTGGTCGCTGAAACGTTCGCTGTAGAGCCTCACCAGACACTCCTAAATTACTCCGACTAGACTGTATACCCTGGTTGCGCCAAGCCTTCGATAACCCCAGCTTCTGTCTGCAACAACGTCGAGGCTTTCCTCCAACCGTCGAATGAACGTGAGACGGGCATCTGTATTCCAGCGATACTTCGATGAAGCCTTCATTTAACCAGTGTGTATGATCGATACATGCTGTATATTCCTTCTCCCGAACCCTCGCTTGATCGTCTGGCTGCTGCCTTCTTCTAGTGTTGCTGCGCGAAGCGTGTTGATTGATGAATCGCGTGAAATTTGTAAACTACAACAGCCCAGCAGCATGGGCGATATAATTGGTCCACAATGTCGACAGGTCTCCCTTCTTGTACCAGCCAACCAGTCCCTTTCTCGGTTCCACCGAGAGTGCGGTACACTTGCTTCTGACAGGTATCGCCATGCAAGATCCGAGGCCACGACGAGTTTTTTACGAGCAACTGCGGAAATTCTCCAGTTCGGTCTGATCCTTGTCGCCGGGGCTGCCGTAGCGATCTTCCACCGACGCAAGATGGCGGCGGACTTACGAAAAGAACTGCAGGTCGCACATATCCATTGGCTGCCAACGGCTATGGTTGCAGTGGACGTGGCCTGTCACACAGATATCCGAGATAGAAGTCGTGCATAACCTTCCTCCATGCCCCTCTCCTGTATGCGCGTGATTGTTCACGACTCGACGCCGGAAGGGCGGTCAATACTTGGTCTTACGTTTGGGCGAGTCGCACGCGGCGTCTGCGCTATGCTCTCCCAGCCTCTGCTGGCTTTCACCAATGGCTGCTCTTCCTCTTCGAGGCTCTCTCCTTATCGCTCCTTCTGTACTACGCTTCGCAGCTCAGAACTCAACTGCGATTCCCTGCGGCTCGTGCGGATGCGCACCGTTGGCGGAATCAGCTCGAGAGTTTCCAGAGATAGACGCTTCTTGTTAATCTGGAACCCTCTGACTTCTTGGCGCAGTCGTGAAGATGTGCAACAAGCCGTTCGTATTCCTCGATGTGTCGATGAACGAGAAAACTCCTCCCAGAGCCCAGCGAGAGAAGTAAGTGACCCCAGTTGATGAAGATCTTGGGGCTTCGCTCCTTGAACTTTGCGGCTCTTTCCCCTCGCATCGAAAAGCGGAATCTTGCGCGACGGAAGGAACGATGCGCCGGCTGCCCGTGTAGCCACTTAGGGACAACAGCGACCATCCGATCAGGCAATCACCATTCGACCTGCCGACTGATGTGGTCGATCTCATTAGGAAATGTCCACGCATGGACGACCCACCATGTCCCAGCGTAGAGAGTAGGGCTTCTGGAACTGCGAGTTACCATGGATGGTGTGGGTCGACATGATAAACTCAGACAGCCTTTCACCCTGCTCATTCCACTCCGTTCCGTGAGTTCCGATGTGAAGTTCTTCAGCCGTTCTTCTTGGTCCGATCTAGCGTTTGAACATCACCGACGATGGCCCTTGAAGAGGTATGATCTTCCTTGTAGAACTTCTCCAATTCCATATAGAACGCTTCGAGCTCATCCTCGTCGTAGCTTGATGTTGGTGCGTAGGCGACGAAGATTGTCAAAGCTGGAGTTGAACCACATCTTCTCAATCGCAAACGTCCGATTCGGGTCGTCAGATTTCGTACGAATCGATGGCCAAGTGCGTGTTGACGAGGACGCCCACACCGCCAACGCCTCTGCTGTCGCATGTTCCGAGGAACAGTTCTTCTCCAGTCTCGTATACGGCGTGTAGCGGGCGATGCCTCCTCGTCTCGGTCAGTCCGATGACGTCGTACTTGATCTTCCTGGCTTGCAACATCAGATCTTCGATGTGAGCTTCCGATGCAAGCGTCCGTGCGTTGAAAGTACAGATCGTCATCCTAGTCCTGGGCGACTTAAATCTCCGTTGGCCCTGTGATTTTAGCAGCGCCGCTGCTAAAATCAGTCCCAAGAGCCGAGCGGTCCCAGCCGACGTCGCCCTGTCGGTGGTTCCCTCAGGTTCAGGGGAATGAGGCCCATGATTGTTAGAGAAGAAATTTGACCACGCGTAGCTCGCCAGGCTCTGACGTGGCACCCTCCGCATTGGTACGTTTTTGGAACAGTCCAAAACCGTTCACCCCCACGCCACGATGAGGCTGCGGATAGGATTTGTGG